TTTTTTCTAACATGCAGGACCCAGTATTTCTGGGTGACCACTCATTCTGGTGCACTAAACCTGGAGTACATATAGTGTCGTGGAACATAAGGGGTGTCCACGATCCTTTTATAGAGATCTATGAGTACTAATAACATCAGTAAGTATCAAACGGGTATATATGGATTCTAAGAGACTTATCTTGCCAAAGATTTTTGCCAAAGATTCAACCTCCTGTCTAAAATATGCATGGGCTGGCTGGTCTTATCACTCCACTCACACCTCCTTTTCTAGGGGGGTGAGTGTATTGATACACCGCTCCCTAATGTTCAAAGAACTTGGTTCTCAAATAGATGATGTGGGCAGATATGTCTTTTTATACTGTAACATTTTTACAGTAAAATGTCTTGTCAATGGTTAATGTCCCATCCCCCTTTTTCAGGGAGGTATTGCAGTCCCTACTGACATACCATCTCAATAAACCTGACATCCCTCTCTTATTACTAGGTGACTTTAATTGCTACTTGAATCCAGCCTTGGATAAACATCCCTCCCTCTCTGTAAATGCCAACTCTAGAAATACACTTCTCTATCGATTTTTTTCACAAGGTGGGTTGAATAGTTTTCTGGCATTCTAAACATCCTCTATAGAAGCAATTCTCCTGCTTCTCGAAGTCCCACATGTCCCTGTTCTGCATTGACCTTTGTCTAGGTACCCCCCTCCTTTCTACCCCTTCTCACTGATATTAAATATTCACCCAGAGGAATCTCTGACCACTCCCTGCTTGTTGTGTTGTTGGATGCCAGACCCTCCTCCTGTGTCCCGATGTCCCTGGAAACCTAATGCCTTTTGGCTTAGTCTATTCCCCTCCCATGAATCATTCTATTAAGGAATTTATTGCAGCCCATGCAGACTACCCTGATTTGTTACAAGTGTGGGAAACCTTTAAATTGTTCCTTAGGGGTATCTTTATTCAAATTAATAAGGTGAAACATGCATCTAATGACTTGAGAGTGGACCTAGAACGGCGGGTAAACCAGCTGGAGAGACTGTATGTAGACAATTCAACTGACGCTGCCAGGGACTCCTGGTTGCCTGCCCAGGATGCTTTAGACCATGTGGTATCATCCTCAGTGGACAAAAGACGATTCTTCTGTAAGCTGGCGTTTTATGACGAGGGTGAAAAGATGGGTAGGTTGTTGGCTAAGATAGCCAGAGCTCAGCAGCCAGTCCCAGCCATTGGTGCCTTGTGGGGTGGGGAATGGCAGGCTTGTGACCAACCCAGATTCTATGAATGCGGAACTGGCCCTGTTCTATACCAGTCGAAACAGACTTGCAGGCCTGAGGATATTTATGAATATTTGGCCTCTGTTCATTTACCAGCATTGTCATGGCAGAGTCACACTATGCTGGATTCTCCCCTGACACTGGAGGTACTGTAGCTGGCTTCAGCTGCCCTTCCTACTTGCAAGGTATCGGGCAATGATGGTCTTCCCATTGAAGTATACAAGCAATACAGCGAGAGCATATTGCCTTTCATATTAAAGGTGCTAAATTAGGCTAGAGACTTGGGTAGACTCCCTCCTTCCATGACTAAAATAGCTAACATTGTTCTCATGCTAAAACCAGGCAAGGATCCTACTGACCAAGGTTCGTATAGGCCAATTTCCTTGTTGCAAACTGACATAATTTTGGCAAAGGTACTCGCTCTCTGTCTTAAGGTTATCTGTACAATCATACACACAGACCAATCTGGCTTCGTGCCTCAGAAGTCAATGGCTGTTAACCTGTGGAGGTTGTTTCTCAACATCCAGGCTAGGACAGACAACAATGGGGAGAGAGCTTTGCTGTCAGACGCTGCCAAAGCCTTTGACCTCATAGAATGGCCATACCTCTGGGCTGTTTTTCCAAGTTGGCTTTTTCCCCATTTTTACATCTTGGGTTAAGTTACTTTACGATCAACCAGTGGTGGCCTTTAGGGAGGCCAGGCGATTGTCTCCCACACTCCCTATGGGAAGGGCCCCCACCAGGGATGCTTCTTGTCCCTGCTATTATTTGGAATAGCCATTGAGCCTTTAGCCGCCTCACTTAGGCACAAACCTGAGATTGTTGGCTTTCAGTATGGTACACTACATGAGAAAGTTGTGCTATATGCTGTTGACACTGTTAATACTGGGGACACCGTTGGTTCTTTGAAGGTGGCCATGACCACCATCACTAGATTTGGGACTTTCTCTAGACTTAACTGGAACAAGGCCATGCTGATGTTTCTCGACACCAGCACTGTACAGGTTCTTGCTCCCTCCCATCCTGTACCTGTTACCGCCTCTTTTAAATACCTGGTGGTACAGGTTACTCCTCAATCAGGTGACTTCTGAAGGCTAAATTTACATCCCCTACTAAACCGTTTGAGACCAAATCAAGATCTGAAATAGACTCCAATTATCTCTGGCGGGTAAGGTGAACTTAGTCAAAATGAACTTGATGCCCTAGCTGTTGTACTTTTTTGCACAATGCCCCTATGGTTATCCCATTGCGCACCTTTTGAATGGTAAATTTCATCTTTAGACAATTGCTGTGGCATGATAAAGATCCTAGAGTACGGCTTGAACATTTGCAGCGGCCTAAGGATGCTGGTGATTTGGCAATGCCTAACGCCTGGCTTTATTACTTGATGGCTCAGCTGCAGCACCTCTGTAAGGGTATGGTTCCCACTGCGACCCAGCAGTTACCCCCCCCCTCAATTTCTCCACCACTAATCTAATTCGCACAGCAGAGGTGGTAGATCTGTTGTATATAGTATTAAGGGCACATTTTATTTCAGCCCGGCTGTTCCAAAAGGGCATTTTGGGCTCCCCTACCTGTGGTAGATGCTCTAGAGACCATGGGGATTTAATTCATTTACTCAGATGGCAATGTATAGTGCAAGTTGGCACAGTCAGAAGGTCAGCTTAAATTTGTCTGGAAGTTGATTAAAGTTCTTTAGCCACCATTCGAACAATCCTTCATTTCAATCTTCGATCAGTTTTTTTCTTTTTCGTCCATGTCTTGGGAGATTAGCTACAGTGCAATGGGCTGTAAACGTCTTGACAATGTTGCGCTCAGTGGACACAGGAACATTAAGATCTCTGGAAATAGACTTGTAACCTTGAGATTGTCCTTGCTTTTACACAATTTCTGTTCTCAAATTTTCAGACAATTCTTCGCTGCTCTTTCTCTTCTCCATGTTCCATGTGGCACACAGACACACAACAGAAAGGTTGAGTCAATATTTCACCATTATAACTGGTTCCCGGTGTGTGATTTCGTCAGCACCTGTTTATTGATACAGGTGAGTTTTTAATTACAAATTACAGGAGCATCACAAACTTGGAATGCAATTGTTTCTTACAATTTTGAGAAGGTGCCAATAATTTTGTCTAGTCCATTTTTGGGGTTTTGCATGGAGTGGGTCAGATATTGCTTTTTGTTTCTCTACGGTTTTGTGTCATACCAATAAAAACAAAAGAAATAAACATGACCATGCCTAAAGCTTTGCAATTGCAACAACTTTCTGGGCAAAGTGGTGCATTATCTGTGTCTCTGTGTGTCTCAAAAAAATCCTTTTAAAACATGATGCCTGAAAATATTCTATGCCAAATCTCTGTACTGAGATAATGTACTTGTTTATATGAATACATTCTAGTCACCCAAATGGGAATGTAAGCACAGTTTACCCCATGTACAGTACATAGTTGCACTAATATGTTTTATCATTTTTGTTTACAGATTATTTTAGGCACCTTTTTTGTAACATGAAAGCTGTTCTTGTTACACTATACTCTGGCTCACAATGCAGTGTTGGAGACTTCTGTTTTAGCTCATTGCATATAGTTTGATACAATCAGAAGGGGGAGATGTTTAGATCTCTTAAGATCACTTGTTCGCAGTTACTGTCGAGTATATACTGCCCAAGTACACCTGCTGGTCTCCATATTTCTTGCATCTTTGAATTTGAGTATGTGTATCTCATTTACCAAGTACCAGTAATGGCTGTTTTTTCTATTCATAGTGGATTAATGATATTGAAACAGATCATAAGTATTCATCGTGGCCTTCTAGTGTTCAAGAATTGTTAAGACCAGCATTCCCTGGAGCCATACGTCCAATCAGGCGAAACTTTTTTAACCTGGTGAGTATCTCATGCTCTTTTTATAGTCGGTTTGTCTGTTTGATTTGTACACATCCATCAATGCCTTTACGGTTTTCCTTTACCCGCTGTCCCTTTCTAACTGTATCATGCAATATAGACTTTGTAATCATTTTGCTTACTACTACATCCAAATGAACTGCAGCAATCCGTATCTTCCAACTGTAATTACCAAAGTTTCTGATTGTTTTCCAGTCAGTTTCAGTAAGTCAATTATCACTTAGGATAGTCTTTTTAGGATGCAGTAGTATTACTGTAATAAAATTATTTGTGGGCCATATCAGAGATTACAGAAGGTAAATGGAAAAACTTTTTTAAGCATGAAAGTGAAAACTAAACTAAGAAATTAAAAATGGATGTTACCTATGCGCTTATACATTTTAATTAACAGTATTGTTCTCAAAGTACCTTAAGTTATTGTTTTATATTTTGTGTTCTTGTTTGTGCAGTTTTTTTTCCTGGGATTCTGGGATTATATGAGGTTTAACTAAGGAAAAGAACTTCAGGCTTTTCTGCATTCACAGCTTCACTCCTGAGGTTGCTGTGAGCTTCTGTGGATTACTGGCTGCTGTATGTCTAGTTTGGCCCTAACAGACAAAATGGGATGCACACTCTATTTTTGTTTAGAAATCCTGTATATGCAAAAACAACTCTTGACTGCAAGTCCAAATTCTGCTATTCCATTTGCATTCTTTTGTATATTTCTCTAGGTTTACACCTATTGAGCCTTTTGATCATTTTTTTTACCTAACAGACCTTTTTGTCATGCATTGTTGGTAAATTCATGACCAGTGTCTTGCAGTGAAAATAGTTTGATGTTTATTTCAAACAAGATATATACATGTGGTACACTTAGCAATTCATTTCAAATGACAGGAATAGTACATTATGAGCTCCTTCAATTTGAAAAAAAACAAATGAAGCTATTCGGTCTTGTAGAGCATATGTTATTTACTTAGACCAGGATGCCTTGACATATCTTCAGGGGTGCCTTGGCAAAATGCCTAAAAATTGGCCAAAAACTGTATACAAGTGAGTGGATGGATCAAGCCTGCCTTTTAGTTACACAAAGCCACAGGTTTTAATTGTGCACCATTACAACCTTCTAGCTGCTAGCATCCTAACAACCAATGACACCCATCAGTTGATATGGAGGATTTCTGTTGTCTGCACGGCACCCTTGTTTGACCCTCCCCTGCCCTTCTCTGTCAGTAATAAGGTCAAATTAGCTAAGTGATTGAAAATGAGGGATAAGAGAAACACTGGAATACTATTCAGTATCCATGTGCAAAAGCGGATTTGCATTGGAAGAATAAATCCCCTCTAACGTTGGGTGTCCTATTAGAGACAGTTTTTGTACATTTTAGAATGGAGTGCTTTGAAACTGTTCATAATGTTAAAGGGTGCCTCAAGATTGGTCATAACTTTAAAGGGTACCTTGACTGAAAAAAGGTTGAGAAACACTGACTTAGACACTCTTCCTATCAGGAGAAATGGTTAAACAGAACGTTTAGTATTTAGTGTGATTGTATAGAACCTAAAGCTCTTACACAGTCACAATCTCACTACTACAAATACGTTTTTGCTTAAGATACAGGTAATTATTTCTTTCTCTCGATTATTTAAAGTCCTCATTATCGGACACAGATCAGCACTTCCTTAACCACTTGCCTACCAGGCACTTTATACCCCCTTCCAGCCCAGGCCAATTTTCAGATTTCAGTGCTGTCACACTCTGACAATTATTCAGTCACACAACACTGTCCCCAAATGAAATTCCCTTTTTTTTAGACATATAGAGCTTTCTGTTGGTGGTATTTAATCACCACTGTTTTTTTTTTTTTTTATTCCTTGATATATAAGTAAAACAATACTGAAAATTTTGGAACAAAAAAAAAAAATTTCGTATATTTCTGTTATGAAATTTTTCAAATCTTTCTTCATAACTTTAGGCCAACATATATTTGATACATTTCTTTGGTAAAAAAACCCAAATTGGTGTGTAATATTTAGTCTTGTGTGAAAGTTTTAAAGTCTACAAACTATGGACTATATATTTGAAAATTGATCAATCCTGATTCACTGACTGCTTATCTCATTTCTTGATTCCCTAAAATGCCAGAATAGTACAAATACCCCTCAAATGACTACTTTTTGGAAGGCAGACAGTCTAAGGTATTTAGTAAAAGACATGGTGAGTTTTTTGAAGTTGTAATTTTTTTTTTGTCACAATTTTTTGGAAAATTAAGAAATTAAATACATTTATTTACACACTGTCACCAGTGATCATATGACTGGTGTGATGGGGGGATCAGGAATACTGACTGGTAACCGTATGTAAATAAAACATTTTAAATATGTCTGTGTGTGTGTGTGTGTGTGTGTATGTATATATATATATATATATATATATATATATATATATATATATATATACATATACATACATACATACATGGGTCAGTGCCACTACTGGTAGCATAAGGTGATACCTGAACCCTACAGAGGTCGCACAGGCAGTCCAACTCCTCCAGGTTGGCACATCAATATGTGCCATTGCCAGAAGGTTTTCTGTGTCTCCCAGCACAATCTCAAGAGCATGGAGGAGATTCCAGGAGACAGGCCCTTACTGTAGGAGAGGTGCACAGGGCCGTAGAAGGTTCTTAACCCATCAGCAGGACCAAGATCTGTTTCTTTGTGCAAGGAGGAACAGGATGAGCACTGCCAGAGCCCTACAAAATGACCTCCAGCAGGCCACTGGTGTGAATGTCTCTGACCAAACAATCAGGAACAGACTTCATGAGGGTGGCCTGAGGGCCTGACATCCTCTAGTGGGCCCTGTGCTCACTGCATGGCACCATAGAGCTTGATTGGCATTTGCCATTGAGCACCAGAGTTGGCAGGTCCGCCACTGATGCCCTGTGCTTTTCACAGATGAGAGCTGGTTCACCCTGAGCACATGTGACAGATGTGACAGGGTCTGGAGAAGCTGTGGAGAATGTTATGCTGCCTGTAACTTTGTTCAGCATGACTGTTTTTGGTGGTGGGTCAGTGATGGTCTGGGGAGGCATATCCATGGAGAAATGCACGGACCTCGACAGGCTAGACAAAGGCACCCTGACTGCCATTCGGTATTGAGATGAAATCTGACCAATTGTCAGACCCTACTCTGGTGCAGTGGGTCCCGGGTTCTTCCTGGTGCATGACAATGCCCTGGCCCTTATGTGGTGAGAGTATGCAGGCAGTTCCTGGAGGATGAAGGAATTGATACCATTGTATGGCCCCCACACTTGCCTGACCTATAGAGCAATAGCAGTAGAACACCTCTGGGATATCATGTTTCGGTCCATCCGACACCGCCAGGTTGCACCTGAGATTGTCCAAGAGCTCAGTGATGCCCTGGTCCAGATGTTGGAGGGAATACCCCAGAACATCATCCGTTGTCTCATTAGGAGCATGCCCTGATGTCAGTATGCATACAAGCACATGGGGGCCATACAAACTACTGAGTACCATTTTGAGTTGCTGCAATGAAACTTCAGCAAAATGAACTGGCTTGCTGCATCGTTTTTTCGCTTTGATTTTCAGGGTTTCTTTTAATTCAGTCCTCTGTAGGTTGATAATCTTAATTTCCATCAACAATGGGGCACCCTTACATTCCCAACACATTACCCAGTCCATATCAGTATAGATATCCAGCATACTTATCGCCATTGAGATCTGATGTGTTTTCAAAGTGTGTGTATGTATATATGTATGGGGCGGCACGGTGGCTTAGTGGTTGCCGTGCAGTAAATGGGTCATGGGTTCAATTCCCAACTATGGCGCCTCCTGCATGGAGTTTGCATGTTTCTCCCTGTGCTTGCGTGGATTTCCTCTGGGTACTCTGGGTTCCTCCCACACTCCAAAGACATGCTGGTAGGTTAATTGGCTCCTGTCTAAATTGTCCTAGTTTCATCCCTGGCCATGTGCGATCTCCTGCATGGTAGGGGTTGGGGAAAGACCTGGCAACCTACCCTGTAAAATAATTAATTCTCTAAGAGAATTAATGGAAAAAGTTGCTTACGAGTGACGGTCCATGCAATCGCCAAGGGTTGGGTACAACTGAATATATATATATGTGTGTGTGCACTATATTGCCATATTGTATTGGGACACCCCTCCAAATCATTGCATTCAGGTGTTCCAATTGCCTCCATGGCCACAGACGTATAAAATAAAGCACCTAGGCATGCAGATTGCTTCTACAAACATTTCTCGGGAGCTCAGTGAATTCAAGAGAGGTATCATGATAGGTTGCCACCTGTGTAATAAGTCCATCCATGAAATCTCCTTGCTACTAAATATTCCATGGTGAACTGTTAGTGGTGTTATAACAAAGTGGAAGCAACTGGGAACAGCAACTCAGCTGCGAAGTGGTAGGCCGCGTAAAATGAGAGAGCGGGGTCAGCGCACAGAAGTTGCCAACTGTCTGCAGAGTCAATAGCTAAAGACCTCCAAACTTCATGTGGCCTTCAGATTAGCACAATAACAGTGTGTAGAGAGCTGCATCCAAGCCTTACATCACCAAGTGCAATAAGAAGCATCGATGCGGTGGTGTAAAGCACGCGGCCACTGGACTCTAGAACAGTGTTCTCTGGATTGAACAATCATGCGTCTGTTTGACAATCCGATGGGCGTGTCTTGGTTTGGCGTTTGCCAGGAGAACGGTACTTCCCTGACTGCATTGTGCCAAGTGTAAAGTTTGGTGCAGGGGAGATTATGGTATGGGGTTGTTTTTCAGGGGTTGGGCTTTGCCCCTTATTTCCAGTGAAGGGAACTCTTAAGGCATCAGCATAACAAGACATTTTGGACAATTTCATGCTCCCAACTTTGCGGGAACAGTTTGGGGATGGCCCCTTCCTTTTCCAACATGACTGCGCACCAGTGCACAAAGCAAGGTTTGTAAAGATATAGATGAGCGAGTTTGGGGTGGAGGAACTTGACTGGCCTGCACAGAGTGCTAACCTCAACCTGAAAGAACACCTTTGTGACGAATTAGAGTAGAGACTGCGAGCCAGGCCTTCTCTTCTGACATCAATGCCTGACCTCAGAAATGCGCTTCTGGAAGAATGGTCAAACATTCCCATAGACACACTCCTAAACCTTGTGGACAGCCTTCTCAGAAGAGTTGAAGCCCTTACAAACAAAGGGTGGGGCAATTCAATATTAAACCCTATGGACTAAGACTGAGATGCCTTTTTAATGTTTTTATTTTTTATACATACTGTGACCAGAGCAGTGCAGTGTCATTTTTATTTAAGGCATCTATTCATTGCCAGTGTGTACTATTGTGATAGCTGTGATTGGTCACAGCTATCACATGGACAGTGTTAATAAATCTAAATTATAATTCGGCACTTATATTGATGGCAAGCTTGCAAAATATTTGGTTTTTATGATTAGTCATAATTAATATTAATATGTGTGAATGGTCTTTTGACAAATGGTAGTATTACAATTCTTCAGTTATAGCTGAGACCAAAAGATATACAAGTTAAGCTGAGACAGTAAATATGGGTAAGTTAGCTGAGACAGCTATACCAGCTGAAGGCTGAGTATACTATATTTAGGCTGGTAGTATATGTCAAGGTTATTAGAAGTGACTTACTATTACATTACGTATTTCAATAGTATCTGTGTGTATTTAGTATACGTTTCTAACATTGATACATATATAGTTTAGTGATTATACATTGATATGTTCTTAAGCTATATTATTCTTTAAATATATAGCTGAGGGTTATAATATTATTTTACATCAGCATACATATGTTCCTGTCCATCAAACATCATATGTATAGCATCCCTTCCTTTTATGAAATGGCTTTGCTAAGCAGTAATAATTTCCATAGAAGGTATTAAGATCACTAACTATGAAGTAAATTTGCCTCATAAAAGACCATGAGACAACGGACAAGGGGACACTCTCACACTTACACACTAACACGACACTCTTGCATACATACATACATGTCTGAGAAGCTGCAACAGGTGCAGGCTACAATATCGTCACGTCCGGCTTCTTCTTCACAAAGTTTTGAAGGACAAGTAGAACATGAATGACAGAACAGCACGTGGCCGGACTTCTATGACAGATAATGGTGAC